GAAGAAGAAGAAGAAGAAGAAGAAGAAGAAGAAGAAGAAGAAGAAGAGAAAAGAAAAAGAAAAAGAAAAAAAAGGACCTTGGTGGGGTGCAGTGGGGAGAGGAGAAAGGTGGTGACTAAATTATGATAGAGGGGTCTCAGTCAAGCATCCCCGTGGTGCTCTAATCCACGCAGGGACTCTCCTCAGGACAGACTTGCCGACTGGCTGAGTGGGCAAGGTAAAAGGACCCTGCTTATAATAAACCACAGCAGGAACCCTGCCACTGCCTCTAGACCCAAACAAGGCCAGGCGGGACCAGATTGGAGTTCTGGCTGCAACTCTCCTGAGGAAACACGAGGGACAGCCCTGGGCCATTGCGCACCCAGCTGTGCCAACTTCGACCTTATCTCCTGGGTGGGGTAGGTGGGGTAGGGGGGGTAGGGGCGGTAGGGGGGTGAGGTGGGGTGGGGAGGGAATCTTGGGTTTTGTTTTTCTGCTTGGCAGGTGCCACCTTCCTTCCTGATTGGCTCTGGAACGTGGCCCAGAGCCTGCGCCCTGCTCCTCAAGGGGACTGTTCCCAGCTGTGGCCCTTTCTCCTCCATTCGCTGCGATGAAGCTTGCCATCCTGGTCCTCCGGCTGGTTGTCGGCATTCTGGCGTTTCCCATGTATCTGCTGAACCTTTTAGGCATGTGGAACCGAATATGCAAGAAGTGCTTTCCCTACATGATGTCGCAGTTCTCGATGATATACAACCAGCAGATGGCGAGCAAAAAGAAAGAGCTTTTCAGCAACCTGCAGGAGTTCGCGGGCCCCTCGGGGAAGCTGTCGCTGCTGGAGGTGGGCTGCGGCACGGGGGCCAACTTTAAGTTCTATCCTCCCGGGTGCAGGGTGACCTGTGTCGACCCTAATCCCAACTTTGAGAAGTTCTTGTTCAAGAGCGTCTCAGAGAACCAGCAGCTGCAGTTCGAGCGCTTCGTGGTGGCGGCCGGGGAGAACATGAGCCAGGTGGCTGATGGCTCCATGGACGTGGTGGTCAGCACCCTCGTGCTGTGCTCGGTGAAGAACCAGGAGAAGATTCTGCAGGAGGTGTGCCGAGTGCTGAGGCCTGTGAGTGACAGATGGGGGAGGACTAACCCTAACCCTAACCCCAAGGGTGGTCCTGTCAATTTACAGTACATTCTAAACTAAAAGGTACACTTAAAAAAAAAAAAGAACGATTTTTTTTTTTTT